CTGATGCAATGCTACATTTCTACAAACCTGATGAAGAAACAAACTCATCCTGATCTCAGATGAACTGAGGGTGAGGACATTTTCAGCACAATTCCTTTCATGTTTATCAGTGAAATGCCATGTAAACATGATTTTGTTTGTTCTATAGAGCTCCATAGAGCTTTAATTCATTCTGTACAATAAGCTGCCATATTCAATTACAAGTAAATGATATAAAAACACTTTTATCTCTCTGTGTGGATTTTTTTTTTCCAGTAATTTGGCCTAATACATGGAACATATTTACAAGCACAATTAAACCTAATCATCATAAAAAGTGTTTTTAATTACCTCAGGAAACACACATCATCTTGCACACGCAGAGTGTTGGAAAAATAATGTGTGATGTACATAAATACGGCACTTTTAAGTTGTAATGCACAGGAATAAAGAGAGAGCTGTACAATCAATCCAGGAGCGGAGCGGTAATTTGCATCTTCATTAGCACTTACGCGGAGATCTCAGGATAAGGGGGGTAATTAACACAAACTGCCCCACAATTTAAGAGTTTGCCTGAAAGCACAAGCATTAATTAAACATTAAACACACCGCTATTATAAAGAGACTCGTTGGGTTTGGTCAATGCGACTGGATGCACACAGGCTTTCTGCAGATCTTTTCAAATCTACCTTTTTCTAGCATACTAGCAAATTCAACGGCATAACTGCGAGTTGTTATTTTGAAACATGCTAGCGACATGCTAGTAACTTGCTAATCATGCTAGCGACATGCTAGTAGCATGCTAATCATGCTAGAAACATGCTTGCGACATGCTAGTAAATTTGCTAATCATGCTAGCGACATGCTAGTCACTTGCTAATCATGTTAGAAACATGCTAGCAACATGCTAATCATGCCAGCAATATGCTAGTAACAGGCTAATCATGCTAAAAACATGCTAATCATGCTAGAAACATGTTATCAACATCTATCTATTCTATCTACATTTTCAAACTTCAGGCTTTTAGAACTACTTTAAACTTTCAGGCTAGGCTTTCTCAAGCCAACCTAAAGTTTGTCTTGACAAACTTTTTTATCTAGTTTATCTTACAAACACACGAGTGGAATAAATGCAAATGCTACTGGTTTCCGTGCGTGCGCTAATTTGTGTCGGATAAACGCATTCAATCCCATCGAGAGATAAACGTCAGCAAACATGCAAACAAACTCTTTACTGACCTTCATCTGTGTGATAAAACCAGCTGCAGAAATCACGATGGCATCACGATCATCAGCTCATTAACATATGATGTTCATGTTATTGATTTCACATACAGCAAAAATACTACCATGCAAGAAGCCTAACTAACTCTAACTATTAGAGGCCATTCACACAGAATGTGTTTTTGCATTTAAAAAATTGAGACGCAGGGCAGTGGAGTAAAAATAAAAGAAAGAAAGAAACGCATTTTTTTTTAAATTAGCTTCTTCTACCTTATATTATGTTCTGGATCAATCTGACCCACAACACATTTGTGAGATGCTGGAAATACTGGCTAAACAAGGATGTTTTCTTGAAATTGTGAGACTATTTCTCATTTAGAGTCAGGAACTGGGAAGTTTTGACTCTCTGAGGGTATTTACATTTACATTTAATCATTTAGCAGACGCTTTTATCCAAAGAGACTTACAAATGAGGACAACAGAAGCAATCAACAATTGTTTAACAAAATTTGTCAAATACAGTTTTAAAAATGTTCGCATGATTACTTTTTGGCAATGTGTCAGAATTTTTTTTTTTACTAATATTTACAATTTTGTTTATAATATTCACATTCATAAAAATGGTTTTGGTAATGCGTAAGAAAAATTTATTTACAAATTACAAAAAATATATATATTTTTTTTTATTTAAAATAAAACATTTAACAAACCGTTTATAATATTCACATTTCATGAAAAACTATTGTTTAACAAAAGCTGTCGAATACAGTTTCTTTAATGTTCTCATATTTACTTTTTTGTAATGTGTGAGAAGTATTCATGTTAAAAAAATTAAAAATAAACATTTGTAAAAAAAAAAAATTTAAATCTAGATTTTAAATGTAAAATAAAACTAAATATTTTAAATGCTTTTTATAATATTCACATTTCAGAAAAATTGGTTAAAAAAGTTGTAAAATATGGTTTTAAAAAATGTTCCCATGTTTACTTTTTTGTAATGTGTGAGAAGTATTAATGCTAGATTTAAAAATAAAATCATATAAAATAAAGCAAAATATTTTAAATACTATTTATAATATTCACATTTCATGTAAAACAACTGTTGTTTCCAGCAAAAGTTTTGAAATATGGTTTTTAACAGTGTGATTTTTGATTAACTGTACTAAATTGACCCAGAGCATCATGATCATACCCTGAATCTATTTGAACATGATATAAGGGTTAAGTTGAACAACATGAATTAAAACAGCACATGCGCTCCAAAAACACTCCAAATGATGCATGCACAATTCTCAAAGTTGTCCGTCTCATGCATGTTTACACTGGAAAAGCATAGAAGAGCAATGCAAAAGTGCATTATGTGTGAACATCAGGTAAAAACACCACATGACGCATTAGAGCTTTTATCATGGCATAGAATAAAATAAAGATGAGCTTGTGGAAATAAAGCCGTTCGTTGCACTAATTCCACCCAGCGGATATTTCTGATGTTTTATTGCTCAGAGAGAGAAAGAGCTCAGTGAAGCAGCGAATGCAAAGCAGCCCGTCTGATTAATTCTGTCGACGAGCATCAGCATTCAGACGGAGGAAAAACCAAACCGGTACGGCTCACTGACGGAACATTAACTATTAATTCCCTTTTAAAAAAAGAGTCAGAGGAAGATGATGATGATGATGAAGAGGCTGAAGTGATGTGACTCTTCATCAAGTCTTAATGAGGCTCTGAATATTTGATGGCAGCGTGACCTCAGAGAGAGAGAGAGAGAGAGATGCTTGTGCATGTGCTGCTACTGATCAAATATTAACACACAGAGAATTTAAACTGAACCTGATGCTGCAGAAAACATGTTGATAAAGTCAGATTTTAAAGACTCTTAAAGGAATAATGAACTTTAGCTGTAATGTGTTCACCCTCAGTTCATCCGAGATGCAGATGTGTTTGTTTCTTCATCAGGTTTGTAGAAACGTAGCATTGCATCAGTGTCTCAGCAATGGATGCTCTGCAGTGAATGGGTGCCGTCAGAATGAGAGTCCAAACAGCTGATAAAAACATCACAATAATCCACAAGTAATCCACAGCACTCCAGTCCATCAGTTAGCATCTGGAGAAGACAAAAGCTGAAACATATCCAGCATTAAGACGTTTTTAACTCAAATACATAGAGTCCATAATCCATAATAATGCTTCCTCCAGTGAAAAAGTGCATCTGCTGTTGTCTCTAACATCAAAATCCAGCCACAGATTTGTTTAGAGCTGTGTGTGTACACTTTGGATGGGATAAATGCAGAGCACTAATTCCTAGTATGGGTAACCATACTTGGCCACAGGTCACATCACATCACATCACTTGGGTGCCATCAGAATGAGAGTCCAAACAGCTGATAAAAACATCACAATAATCCACAAGTAACCCACACAGCTCCAGTCCATCAGTTAACGTCTTGTGAAGACAAAAGCTGCGTGTTTGTAAGAAACAAATCCATCAATTAGACGTTTTAACGTCAAAATGGCTAAAATATGAATCCTCTATCCATAATAACACTTCCTCCAGTGAAAAAGTGCATCTGCTGTTGTCTCTAACATCAAAATCCAGCCACAGATTTGTTTAGAGCTGTGTGTGTACACTTTGGATGGGATAAATGCAGAGCACTAATTCCTAGTATGGGTAACCATACTTGGCCACAGGTCACATCACATCACATCACTTAAACGCTGCTTGATCTGTGCAGATTTCTCTCCTGATTCACACCAGAACACTTTTTCACTGGAGGAAGAGTTATTATGGATTATGAACTCATGTATTTGAGTTAAAACGTCTTAATGCTGTATTTGTTTCAGCTTTTGTCTTCTCCAGATGTTAACTGATGGACTGGAGTGCTGTGGATTATTGTGATGTTTTTATCAGCTGTTTGGACTCTCATTCTGACGGCACCCATTCACTGCAGAGCATCCATTGCTGAGACACTGATGCAATGCTACGTTTCTACAAACCCGATGAAGAAACAAACTCATCCTGATCTCAGAACTGAACTGTTCTTTCAATTTCAGTAACACTATCAATGTCAGACGAGACCAAACCTGAGCTGAATTGTTCTGAATACTGTCTTCTGAATGCGTGTCATAGCTCTCTGTGAAGTGCTGCAGTAATGAAGTCTCCTCACCTGTTTCTCTTTACGCCGCTCTGCCCTGCGTGTCTCGTCTGGACTCGGCGGCTCGCGCCAAACCGTCGGCCATCAGAGCTTCTTCCAGACTGCGGCGCGCCTGATGCACCTTCAGCTCCTGCTCCCTGAGGAGGAAGAGGAGGAGAGCGGGATGAAGGCTCTGACCTGGCCTGTCAATCAAACCGGGTTTCTCTTCTCTTCTGATGTGGAAGAGGTTGATGTTCGTGAGTGGAACTCCGTCCCAACTTACATCCTTTAAGTTTCACCTAAAGAAGTGGTTAATTGAGTGTCAATGTTAATTTTACAAACTAAATTCTACTGCCGTCTTGTCTTGTCTGCTTTACTAGTTGAGATTTTTATGCTATACACACACATGAGGTTGTTTGGTTGAGTACTGTCTGTATGCTGCTTACTCTATCTTATTATGTATTTTGGAGCATGTATGTATTATGTATTGAATAATTGTTTTATATTTTTAGGGTGACAGTTTTACCATCAGTCCAGGGACTGCAGATGCATTCTGGCACATTGTGCATTCATGTATTATTGATGTGCATTGTCCCTGTCAAATAAACCTGAAATAAATAATAAAAAAAAGATGTTTCCTTTACCGGGACGGCAATCCCAGAATGCATTCTGAACCAACAAACGAGATAAACAGCAGTATCTGAACATCTATTTTTTATTATTATTATTATTATTTAATGAAATTCAATGAGGTCCAGTGTTATTTTAGTATTATTAATATACTACTGTTTTTATTTATATTTTGAAATGTATTTTTATATTTTCAGTTTTTATTTTTGTTTATAATTTTGTTAAGTGCTGTCATTTTTATCGTTTTTTTTTTTACATTTTTATGTCATATTTATTTCATGTTTATTTATTATTATTCAATTATTTAATTAATTTTATTTAAATTATTGTACTTTTAATTTATTTTCAGTGAGTCATTGAGTCATGAAGAAAGAAAGAAAGAAAGAAAGAAAGAAAGAGAGTGACATGAATGATCTCTTTAATGGAAGAGGTCAGAGAAGAGGAATATGATGAGACGCTGTCATTGAGGGAAGATCCTGTAGAATCCTGAGCATGCTGCTGTCATCAGATGCTCATAAAGAAGAACACACACACTCACACACACACTCACACACACACACACACAGACACGCACACACAGTCACACACACAGACACACACACAGACACAC